AGAGAGAGAGAAGCAGAAAGACAGGTAACTACAAAGAGAAGAACCATAACAGAATCCCTCTGAAACTTTCAAACTCGACGCGCTGGCAAATTGAGTTGAGTACTGCTTTCTGTGCTGCATTTCGTCCTTCGTCTTCATTTATAATTTTCTTACTTATTTCATTAAAAACCATATTAATAATTTGACATCGCGAGAAAGTTAATTAAGGACTACATTTCATCACATTTTTCTGTCTGCTTGTCGTCAGATCGGCGTCTGGAAGTCTTGGGAGAAAGAGGGTCTGGACATCAAGGACATCGTCTGGCCGGGCAATACCCACACGCCTCCGCAAGGCGTGCCGGAGAAGTTTTACCTCAAAATAACCTTTCTAGAAGAGCCACCCTACATCAATCTTGCTCCGCCTGATCCTGTGACCGGAAAATGCTTGGTGGATCGCGGTGTTCACTGTCGAGTGGCCAAGGAGTCCGATATAGTTGAGTAAGTATGAGAAATTGGACTTTTTTATTGGAAGGATATGCTTGTCCGCCAGTGTCCTACGTCTATACGTTCAGATTTTACAAGCTTGCGATTCTAAATGTGTAACTGCTTGCACACTCATGTTGTCTTCCAATAACTGTTGATTTCGAGAATACTCGAATTTAATATGATTTTGAAATAATTCTTATTAATTGTGAAAAATATTTACACTGATTGCTTGTATTATTATAAAGTGAGCATTTGAGATCAGTCAGACCGATTGTAATTATTTCGAATTAATTTATGTGATAATATTTTTTATTAAAAAGTAGAATATTTTATCTCGTAGAGATTGCTCGAATGGTTTATACGAATGAAAGTTTAAGCGACGAATGCATGTCTGATCACAAGGGAATAAGCCACTCAGAATGTCTAACCACAGGGGAATAAGCTACTCAGAATGTCTGACCGCAGACTGACCACTGCTACTTAATATCACTTTTTCGTGAATTATTCAATTTATAAGGCTATATTTTAACTTGTTACTGTTACCATTGTAAAATAACAGTGTTAATTAAAAGCATACAGGAAGAGAATTACACAAATTAAAAAAAAATCTTTAGAAATAATTAATTATTATTTTACTTTTTCTCTGTAATTTTTAGGATTTCAATTTTATTGATCACTAAACGAATTACTAAAATCTGATCAGATTTTAAGCAGTGTTAATTAATGTTACCTAAAATACATACGCTAATAATTTTCTTTATGTATAATATATATAATATACTATTACTACAATATATTAATATTGTAAGCACATCATTATTTTATAATAGTTTGTGTCATTTTGAGAAAATCGACTTATCAAATTCCCACGAACACGGCGCTGCTTTTAAGTAAAGACTGAATATTAAACCCGAACGTTACAGAACGCGACATTTCGCTTACAAGGCAATCCTAGCAAAGTATACGTGTCGCTTCTACACTAAGAAAAGAGCCTTGCGCGCACCCAGTCCAAAATTAAAGGGCCGGCCTTTGAAAGCATTCGACGAAGCTAGGTTATACTCGCCCTTCATAAGAGCAAAAAGTCGACATTTACAGTGGCACGTAGTAATGAGGTTTATCACGCGGCAAATGAGTCTTTCAAGAAGTATCCTTGTAGCGCATTTTTGTTGGAAAATTCTTAAAGTTCGCATTTAGTCTCTCAGAAAGTTGCTTAAGTGAGAATGTGAAGAATATGACGAATGAGTACGAAAGAAAACGTAATCGCGATTGTTATGGCGACAACACGATGCTATTTTCAGTTTATTTCCATCGATCTTCACGCTGAAGACACGAGCTATATTGTCAAAATTTATCGAGCGTGTTCTCAGCGTCGTTATCCAATTTAAAGTATCATTGATATGGTTTGGATTTACAGCCTCTATCACAGACATTCTCTGCGTATAACAATATTTATTTAAGTGAAATGGGGTCACGTAATATACGTTAAAATCTTCCCAGCTTGTATTTTTACATAGTGCTCGCAACAGCTGTTGCAGAACCTCGTTTTCAATGTAAACTCGAAAGTTTTTGTAAAAATCTATTTCTATGTAAAAACAATACAGCTCTTTGCTAAAACAGTGCGAAGCAAAGTGGTTCTTTACATTTCTCTGTATTTTTTTTTCTTGCAGCAAAAAAATATTGGCCCAGTACTTTTGTATTATTAATTGTGAAACAGTTAAGAATTAAGTCGAAAATCGATACTGCAGATGATAGTATTTCCGAACAACAATGCGAATAATTATTAGCAAATTTTTATCTCAAATATTTTTCAATAATTTGTACTGTATTTCGTGAGCGTTTTCTAGGTATTAATCGAACGAAGATTTCCGATACGAAATAAAATCGCGAGTTTCGAGATGCATGAAGACGAAAAAAAGAAAGATAATGATTTAAAAGCGTATTTGTACATGCCAGATCCAAGATTCCGATTCGAATAGCATCTCGAAAACAGCCCGCCGACAAGTTTTCTAAAGGCATCCGCGAGAATAGCAGTGTGGAAGTAATTGAAACTCCTTTCCTTCTCTCGAGAGAAACGCGCAAAGGAACGTTAGGAAATTACGGCGAAGGACGCAAAGTAGACAAGTCGATTTTCTACTTCAATTGTGAACGTCACAACAGTCGGCTTGTCAGAGAAATTTTGAAGGAACGAGTCTCCGGACAATACAGAACTATACAACATTTGTCGTGTATAAATTAACATGTTATGTCTTGTTTTAATTAAATACATATTTTATTAAATCTTTGTAAAATTACCAATCCTAATTATTTTCTCACATGTGTTGCTTTCAATATTTCTCTATTGTTTTGTAATTTATTATTATTAATACATTTTATTTTAATAGTTTTGTAATTCTAAATCAAGTTTTTATTTAGAAAGTAATTGAAATAAACTTTTTTTGATAATATTAGTATGCATTATAAATATACTTTGAAGATTGTTTAAAATAACTAATTTTAAATTAATTAAGCATACAATTGTATTACGCTGAAGTAGGTCGCGCGCCTATTCGTTTTGACAAACAGTGACAGAGAATTAACTCTTCACGCGGTTTCTCCGAGCAAGATGTAATTGAAAATTCTGTGACAAGTTGTCATACGACTGCTTGTTAACTGGAGAATGACGTTATTCTCCTTTGGAGATAACTTCTAAGCCTATTATATATATATATATAATAAGCCATGATTGATAATAAAATTCTGAACAAAAATACGAATAACAATAATTGCAAACGTAAAGACTATGGTAATAATAAGAAATTACAAATTTTAAGAGAGATTTTAGCAAATATTTACTTAAAATAGCACTTCTTATTAGAAGCTATTGTTTGACTAATTTAATAATAATACATGACATTAAGATTTTGGTTAGACTATGTAAAAATTATTGCTCGAAACATATTTTTTTATTATAACACTTGAACAAATTATTCATGACGCATAGTTCATAAAATATGCACATCTGAAACTTTTTAACTGCAAAATGTGGAACGTATTGAACATTTGTTTTATTAACAAAGTAACATTTTTACTTGAATGCAGTAAATTGAGTTAATGAATTCCATGTAGCAAAATGTATTCGAGTGCAGATGCACGAGGGATGCATATTTAAATAGTAAGAGGGCGCTAAAAAATATTAAACCATTAGTAGGAACTACATATTGTATTATCCCTTCGTGTACAGCGCGAAAGGACTAATTGCTGCCAATAAAAAATAAAAATTATACTCCATCAGTTGCCGAAAAAAACGGAGTAAATTACCTTAATTGCTAATTGTATGCAGCTTGAAAGAACAGCGCGCGCGTTACTCTCCCTTAACGAATTGATATTAGCACCGTAAGGAACTTACGGAAGTATTGCACGGTGCAGAATAATTGGCAATAAATTACACTGAACGTAACGCTTCACCGATGATATACCGTTAGCACGAATACCAATTTGTCCACGTTATGTTTTTAATTTTTCGTCGACCGCAAGATCACATTCTCATCCAATTAAACGGGTATCTCGAATGAGATAATAAATGTTGCCTCGTCGCGATCATTTTTTGTGTCTGCCTGAAATTTAAATTTATTCGCTGCAATTTTTATAATGAGACAGAATCACTTGCACGTATTCACTTGCCCGTATATATCTTGTTAAATTAATTTTTAAAAGAATATTAGCATCAGTGTGCCATTTTCGCGTGAAGGCAGCTGAAAAGCAATGACGCTTTGGTTGCTTTCACGCCTGTTGCAATCCTTCTCGTGCTCGTTGTGTTTTGTACTGCCATTCTCTATCTACCGCAAGTATAGTCATATAATAGACTTTGCGCTGAGTACTCAACGGACCACGCATTTACAATCTCCGACAAGACCGCGAGCGGTGAACATATCTCCATGTATTAATATGCAAATCGCTTGGATTAACTGGTGTCCTTTGCGAGGGAAGTGGCTGAGACACCTACAAATGGTGAAGGCCGTGAGTCCTTATCTTGGGCACAAGAGAGAATATAAACGCGGACGCGTTCTTGCAGGACGCATATCCTCTCGTGGCGTGGAATGCAACCGAGTTGGAAACGGGAGGAATTACATTAATGTGTTGTCGTGCGAAACCAAATTAACCCCGAGATGTCCAACTTGATCCCAACGTTTGTGACGCAAATCAGAAATACATACACAAGTTGCTTCCTAATAATTTAAGCACAATTTTACTAGTAATTGAATACACATAATGAAAAATGACACAAACACATTAAATCCTATTTCATTACATTTGCCCGCTAAATTTCCCAAGTTTCAGAATTTCTGAAGTTATGCGCATATCAGGCAACAATGTGTAATTTGTGATAATTTCGAGTATTATGGTTTCCTATAAGTAAAATCAATAACGCGAAATACCATTCATTGGAAACTTCTGCTTAATAACTCACTGAATAGTTTCTTCGCTTCTGAACTCGAAAGTCAGTAATTAATGACGCTGAACTGTGACAGACAAGATCCATCTTGTCCATAAAGTTATGTTATGAATGCAACCAATAACAGCTTTGTATTCATGAAATGTATATGCGAGATAAACAACAGTACGCAGCAATGCTAAAATTTCCAATGTTATTACTCGTTTCATAATTAACGTTGCGAGTATTAAACTATTGATAAAGCTAAAGCATCTTTGATTAAACTGCAGAATATGTACATTTGTAGTCATTATTTTATCACATTGTACCGGAAATGTCTATATATTACCTTTAATGCGTATACGCATATATCGAATATCTCATTAGTCTATAACCGAGTTGAGCTCCCTTAATTCAGCCAATAACGGTTCTGAATTAATGAGAAACGCAAATCGATAACGATAATACGCACAGCATTCTTAAGAGAAAAGCAGAAATTTACAACGGTGCAAATATCTTTAGCAATTTCTATTCTGTGTTAATCCGCGAAATAGGATAGTCTCGCGGACGTGTTGCGAAAACGGATACTCGGATAAAGACT